AACCCAGTTTATGAACATCTGAAAATCGTTGTGCAAAATACCTTCAAAGTAGAACGGACCAATAAAAAATAAGGCAATATTACAGTCCCTTTTAGACCACCAAAATCAGCACGTCAAGTAGGATGTCTTAAAAATTTTAGTCAAACCTTACTTATGGACAGAGAACGATAAGTATAAAGTAGTCTTGTAAATGGTAGTAAACTGCTATAGACGTTTGGTCCTTCTAGATATTTTAAGCAAGCCAGGGTGAGAGATTGAGAACTTAGATTACACTTAAACAATTCGCGAAAATTGCAAATGGCTGTTGAAGATCATGCTTTTCTCTTCCTTACTTTCTTTTTTTCTCATTCATTCTTTCAAACACATGGGTAGAAAGCGAAAGTGTTGTAGAAAAAAAGTTGGGCTCTGTAGATATTCTAAATTTCGATGTGATGTACTGAAGTTCCTTACTTCTAAGATCTACCAATTTAGTCCAGCCAAAAAGTGTGGACTAAACTTAACTGAATGCTGTTTAGAGCATATCGTTCATGACATGGCCAGATCTCATCCCATTGATGGTTCTTACGTCAGATTTTAGTAATGTGACATCTGCAGGATGGGTAAGAAGTCAAAGTTTACCGTAAAGTAATGAAGCACTGCTACTGCCTCTAACTTATTTTATTTCCCAGTTCCAACTTCTCATCACAATGGAAGCTCTATGGACACACAGATGATCATAGAGACCCCCCTTTTCAGCACAAAACCCGAATATTCCCATCAAGTTCTAGGTGTAGGTTATTTGGTCTCTAAAACCTAAAGTCTTTCATCGTCATAGTGCATGATCGTGACATATCATATGCTTCAGCTGATTAATTTCAGACATAGAAGCATGGGAAAGCATTGAAAATGAGTTTATATTCTTCAGTTTGTCTTCATTTCCTGCGAATGACCTAAGGTGGCTGACACATGGTGTAAAACCCTAATCGCAACAAGTAGATGACCCGGTGACTTGGTCAGGGAATGGAACTTTCAATCTACCCTCCCTCACTGAATATAAGCATCTATTGGGTTTATCTCGTCGGCTTTTTTAGGCTCCTCATTCTTCGACTTTTGCTGTAGCAAGTTGGGCCCTAAACTGTGTGCTACTGCATCAACTCACAGAATCAACGAAGCTTGGATGAGAAGGTGGTAGCAGAAAGAGCTGCCTACAGCTTTTCTATGAGTTCAAAACCGATAATGAAGATGTGAGCCAGAAGCAGGGAGCTGATCTCCTGCCAAGGTTGATCGACAACCTGCCCGGGAAGGGAAGCCATCGAGATGATTCCCCTGGCAGCTACTGCCGTGTTCGCCTATGAGTTTGGCAGCAACTAAGGACAAGTTGATTTGAGTTTTGCATGAGTTTCGGTGAGTTCGGAAGGAGACGCAATGGTTTCGCGTGAATTGGCTGTGGTACAAAGGAATAGCGTGTGAAATCTGCTCAAGTGTTGTTGGATGGCACAAGTGAAGCAACCTTTCCGGCCAACAGTTGTATTACAGACGGCATGAAATAGGTCCAGGAACCCTGAAGCAAAGCATGAAAGGAGAATACCATAGTGGGAGCTGGGACCTTCAGTGAGGGCGAGGCTGTTAGTTTTGAGGTGCCCTGTCTCCGACTGAATCAGTTAAACCAGTAGCCGTCGTGTCCACGTTATTCTTTCGACTGATAACGAAGACCATTAAGCTCAAAATAGGAAGATCGATAAAATGCCAGTCATTTTTTAGCTGATGGAAAGTGAGTAAATTATCTTTATCATTAATCCGCCACGTCGAATGAGTTTTGGCAGACGGTACATATTTAGTCCCCATCAACGAGAGCATGTTCATCATGGAACATCCTGGACTGGGATCAAAGTACGGCCCTCAATATTGCTGTCTACTATACTTCCTGGTCAAGGACCACTTTGCCCGAAATCAGCTTCTATTTCAGGGCAGGCAATATGTCAGTGCCTTGTCTATCATCTGAGAATTCATTAAACTGTCACCGTCCACTTCTAATGAGGTCTACGTAGGCAGTGGACATTTGTGAACGATTGCTGACGTACTATCTAATGAAGTCGAGGATCTTCGGTCTCCAAGATCTCATGAACTTCCTAATTCCCTGAGTCCATTCTGTCAAAAAGCCGAGGTGGCACTAGCGTTTTACTTGCTCGGTTGGCCGCTGCTAGGATTGTATAGGTGCTTCCTAATTTCAGCGTCATTCCACGTGAATGAGTAACGGGCCTGAACGAATCCATTAAGGTAGATTAGAGAGCATAAAAGAGGCCGCTAAGTGGAAGTTGGTCGCAAATTTGTTTCCGCCTCCGTAAAGCCTGAATTTGTTCTCAAAATAGATCTGTTTCGTTTTTTTGTCAGTGTCACAAAACATCAAATACCTGATCCCAACAATTATTACAGCCTATAGGTCCTCTATCCCAAGAATTCACCTCTTGGAGTCATAAACAAACAGTGGGAGGGATTTCATGGGCGATTCTGGTAAAGTTGCTCATAGTGTGGGCTCAGAGATAAGCGAGTCCTTCGTGTATGACGAGGCCAAAGCATTTTCGGCCATCCTTCGAGCTCACTGATTGGGAAAATCTGGCACGAACGCCTTGATAGAGGCACCAACGGTTACTACTTTGTCTTCAAAGCTCTGGTGAAGGTTCATGTCCTATCAAAAATCGAATGATTCCCTTCATCAAGATCCACAATGGCACCTTTACGTAGTAGCGAAATTAGATGACCATGTATAACTTTCCAGAAATAAACCTTTCTTAGACTTCACCATTTAAGTAAGGACATTCTAAAAGAATCTTGTATATATGGTTTATCGGTTTCCAGGAATCCTCTTTCCCTCCGGAATTTCTGCTTTTCCTCGCACTCTAAGGAAATGGGAGTCTTTTCTTATAGTTAGGTAGCTGGGTACCCGTCTACATATTTGATGGGTGACTAGGTAAGCCACCAAAGTGATGGAAGGGATGTTTACAATCTATCCCTTGATCCCCCTGTATATATGTTGTGGAATCGGCTATAATTTCGACAACCAGCTGGCCTCCGTCAACGTTTTCGTCGATGGATTTCTAAACAAATCCGAGATCATGGAACATTATGTACGAATTGCTTGAAACGTGCCAACAACTAGGAGCTCCAGAGAAACACTGTATGTTGTTCAAAACCCGAAGATCAGGTCCTTCATCTTTACTGAGCCGTCGGAATCTAACAGTTCCTATCAGCAACATACTTCACGCAGTATTGCAGAAACTTCAGAAAACGTAGGACTGAGGATAATCCCCGATAGCCAGCTCAAGCAGGTAACTTTTGGCACAGAGAATTAATGCTCTTAGCTACAAACTCAGGTGGTCCAGGTGAAACTAGAAGTGGACTAGCCATTCCTCGATTATTATGTAACCTGAAACAAGAGTAATGTTTACCTTCACCCGTAAAGTAACCTTCCGCTCTGAAATCCCTTGAAAACCGTTGCGTGGTCTTCTCAGTCAGTCTGTCCACAGATTCCCTGGCCTTATCACTGGTGGGCCATGACGCAATTCCATTTCAACCCTTCACTTGGCTTTCACTTGTGCCCGCAATATTGCCTCATCCTTGGCGGATCGCTCTCGTCGGCCATTTTTCTGTCCGTGGAATTGCCTTTTTGCTCGTCGTCTAGTCGTTGCCGCTAAGGCCAAGTGTTATATTGCCATCTTTAGTTGCGCGAAATTGCGACAAATGCCTCCATTGCCATAGAGCAATGATGGAATTCAGGCTTTAATGACGACCAACCCCAGAAGGGTGCTTCACTGACGGCTAACTTGTTCTGTGATATCCACTTAAATGCATGTTGCGACGCATTGCTAATCTAATCGGAGCAGATGACAGAGGAATAGATTGAAGCCAAGTATAAAATAAAGTAACTGAACACGATATAGTAGAATTTTCGGGAAATAAAAGGGGATACGGTAGATTCTTCAAAGGGGATACGGTAGATTCTTCTGGAGAAAAGACTAGATTTACTTTTTCCGTGATATTTACCGAATTCCTGGCTTTTGTGGGCAAATAGTTGGGGTGGGGCAGAGAACTGAGTGGGCGAGTTTACCCGAGTTCCTGACTTTTGTCGGCAAATAAAAGGGTGGCCCAGGAGAAGTGGGCGAGGATGAAGATAGAGCAGAAGATTGTTCGCTATGATCTCGTAGAAGTTATTTATGAGACCACCCTTGGTTTGAGCCCTATGGAGCGGTTTTCTGAAGCACCAGGGAATAGCCAGTCCTTGCTACCCTTCATACCATTCATACTTCTTGTAAAAGAGTTTTTGAGCTAGCACTGGTTGTTGAAAGGGGCAAATGATGGACGAGCCACCACCAGTCACGTTCATCAGACAAAATCTTTAGTGTAAAACAAATTTTTTGTGATTTAGCTAGATGGGTGTGCTGAGTTTGTGGTGTAAACTGCGTGTCTGTTGGATACTGTAGGGAAAAAAATCTATCGACTTTTTTCTTCTCCTCAAACTTTCCGCTTTGCCTTTTTCCGCTGGTAGCTGTTTGTTGAAGGGCGTAAACAAAAACATTGAATTAAAGGCGTAAACAAGCTGATAAATAAATAAATAAGTAAATAAATAGGTTTGCAACTAACTGTTTCTCAGTGAAATACTTTCATATAATCTTGTTTTTCTGTAGTAACTAGAGAGCAAACGAATAAAGGACTAGTTGATTGAGAGTGAGCAGGCCATTTTAAGGGCCCTGACTTTTGGAGGAATTCCCCAGGCTCATTGGTCCATGCAATGAATCTTTAATGCTGATAATNAATTAAAGGCGTAAACAAGCTGATAAATAAATAAATAAGTAAATAAATAGGTTTGCAACTAACTGTTTCTCAGTGAAATACTTTCATATAACTTGTTTTCTGTAGTAACTAGAGAGCAAACGAATAAAGGACTAGTTGAGAGCGAGCAGGCCATTTTAAGGGCCCTGACTTTTGGAGGAATTCCCCAGGCTCATTGGTCCATGCAATGAATCTTTAATGCTGATAATTTCCTCTTTGCATGCAAGTCAGGAACCAATAAAACGGCGATTCCTTGATCGCCCAAGCCAAAGTGCCTTTTCAAGGGCGATGATGACAGAATGCAGTGCTTCGTGGTCTTGGCTCAGTTCTTGCGGCTCATCATTTTCTCCAATTGTCATCCCGTTGATCAATCATCAAAGGACACCAGCCATTTTTCCGCCCGTCCTATGGCAATGTCGTCCAGAGAGAAGACCTGTGATTTCGATCCGTTGATGGGACTGGGACCTCCCTATCTTCTTGGGCATTTGCAACTGCGGGAACTTCAGGCCCTGATAGCTTACGGAATGGAAATTGGCCCTGATCTAACAAAATTTAGCCTGGCTCTAGGGTCTAGGACTGCTGCCCGAGCCGTCTGCGCCCAGTCTATCCGGGAGCTTCTTTTCTTTTAGACTTCCCTTAATCACCTGTCAAGCATTTTCTTTCGCATTTTTAGACCAAGCAATTATTAAGACAAATGCTCATTACCCTTTTTTCCCCTACCTATTGCTCTCCACGGGGCAGATGTTCTGTGTGACGAGTGGCACACTATCATACAATCCGGAGCATTAATCCCGGATCGATACCCACCCAAGCCAACCAAGCCTTTCATCACCATTAGGTCGGTCAATTGGTACCAGACTCTTCCAGAAGGATCAAAGCATTGATTCATGACAAATGGCCACCATGAGTCGTTCTATAGGTTAGAAGAGCGGTCGAAATGATACTACGATTCTGAGTGGAAGTTGAATGCGCGGCGCGTCCTAAAATGGAACTCCTGAACGCCGAAAACGTTGTCCTTTATCCTTGTATCGCTGCCCAACTCCTGTGGTATAGGAGGGAAAGGCATCTGGTTTCTCTTCCACTCATCAATCAACATCGATAACATATGAGATGTGTTGAAAGGGAAAAAACAACACAACTAGCATCCGCCTGGAGTTCTCTGAGCAAATCTTTCAGTGTAAATGCCTTTTTTCCTACCTAAAAAAACCTGACAGTAATGCAGTGCAATCCACTCTTCGAGATTGGGTTTACACCCCTTCAAAAGAACATGGTGCCAGTTGGCTAACTATTGAGAATCGAAATAGCCCAGTGGGTTTCCAGTTCGGGCCCTGGATCAGCGTCTCCAATTTTGTCCAAATTCTATACCTCTCCCACTAAACTATATACCAAAGTGACGAAGTTCCACTAGTGATAACATATCGTTGTTTTTCTGGGTTCGAGGCCCCAGACCAGCTCATATCCGTCATTATGAACCTCTGTCACCAATCACCTACATTCCTTTCATCCTCCACCCTCCCCAACACCCACCCACCATCTACCACTATTTCGCTGTTGGCCTCAGGGGTACTCCACTTTTACATATGGTGGCCAGAACCGGCCTGAATATTTCGAAGACTTCTTCTCTAAAATCATTTCATTCCACTAGCAATGTAGTATGGAGCGGATTTAACCCTAAACTTCAAGTTATACTCTTTTTCAGTGTATTTTAGGATCAGCGCTGAAGCGATGGTGCTTAGTTTCCTGAAATTTTTCTGCTCACTTTTCCTTCCAATTTTTTTCAAGCTCATTTTTTTTAAAATTGGCTTTTATATGTTTTTCAACGTAAAGCAAGTATATGTTCGTTCAGTTCTTCCTTGATAAAAGGTGGTGTAGGGGCCTTATCACAAGTGGCGCTCTATCACATATGCATTGTCACGGGTTTGAATCCCGGTACGATATCCGCCCAGGCGAATCAAGCCTTCCATCCCTCCAGGTGTCAGTTAATTGGTACTAGACTTATCTGGGAGAATAACAGCGCTGACTTTTCCATCGGCTAACCACCGCAAGTCATTGTATCGGCCACATACGCATGCAATACGTCGCTGCGATTCTGAATGGGATTCGAATGCAGGGCGCATCCCTCAGATGGGATTGATTTAGGCCGAATCACTAAATTCTTTATTTGGGGAAATTAAAACGTCACTTGGCGTCATTGTCCAACCCTATCGTTTCTTTGTCCTGAAAGGGCGTGTATGAACTTAACCTGAAGAAAAATGCTTGGGAAATGGCTGGGAGATTTTGGAAACCATTTTTTCTACTAAATATGCCAACATACAACTTCCATTTGCAAACATAAAGGAGAGTAACTATGTTACAACCCCATACTATTCATTGGGAGAGTCTGTTGGTATGCAAGTCAAGCTCGAATTCTTTTAGATAATAGGATTACGCCCTAATCGGAGAAATCGTGGCTGGATATCGTTTGGCCGGGCTCAGGAAATGTGCGTGTTGGTCCTTGATTACTGCGCTATTTTGACCTCATTGTTCCCATTTGGGAGCATCATCTGCTCCCAAATTGAGTTGTTTTCTTTTGCTTCCTATTTTCCACTGTTGTAAACCTTCTCTGATGTATTTTACCTTTCTGGTTCTTCAATTCCTTCCCAAGTGCCTAACCTTTAGGAGGAGAAACGTCATTTCCCTGCTTTAGGTGACCATCCGAGCAATGACGACCAAACATTGTTGTCGAGGCTCTAAAACAGAACTTTCATCTTGTAATTCAAGACATTTGCTTTGTTACATACCACTACGTCAAAATCGTTGTTCAGGGAGTTCTTTTCCAGCTGTAGGCTACTCTCATTCCCTTCCATAATCCCTCCCAGTCAACCAGACACCTGTCGTATCCATCCGTTGTGATATTGTCGCAAATCAGTCAATCTTATTCGAGGAGGAACAGTCACGCGCCAGGACCCTTCGAGGCAATGTGGCGACCCATCCCAACTGTTCCAGAGTCTGCATGGACTCTTCCCCCCTATGACTGGTAGCTTGTTAGTAGTCGCTTCAGTGACATCTCGTCATCTCTCACTAGAGTGCTCAATAGTCGACTTGATTTAGCTCTACTGCGCTTCAGCTGCTGCTGCTAGCTTGCCAGCACGTCCATCCGGCTGCCGCAGCGTTCGTCTTTTCCGGCCCATGCTCTATTTAGTATGATTTTGGGAGCAGCTCACATTATTTGTCTTCTTTTTGGCCCTTCTACTTGCTCCACATCGACCAAATTACTTATTTTTACCATTTGGGGTTTCCCTACAAAGTTCAAATGATACGACTGTCCCTTATAACTCTTCCTAGTGTCCCACTTGGGGTTTCCAAAATGTTATATGAAACTACGTTTCGTTCCCTCGTTCTATGTGGACTTCCTGGGCCTCGAAGACCCGCCCACTAGGCATGTGACATACATGTTTGGGTGAATTCCAGCGTAAATCCCATATCCGTTTTTTATTGCAATAAATTTGTCTACTAATCTGTAGCAGACTGAAAAATCAGCTATTTTCCTTGATGTTGTTGGTCCAGAATACGAATTACTTAATCGGCGGCCGCGGCATCAACGGTGCTCACGGCTGAGCTGCCTTTGTTTAATCCCTCCCACATCAGAACGTCAAGGGGAAGGGTCATTTCTGTTCTCGGTCTCAGCTTATCCACTCGTCGGAGGTATCGGGGGTTCTTGGGAGTTCATTTCGAAACACTCACTACGGCTATGGCTGTGTTTAGCCCACTTGGGTCGATTTCTGTGCACTTTTCCAAGCAATTTGTTCCTATTCAGTCTGATTATATTCGCAAATCTCCCGGATTCTATGGGTAGGATGATTCCCTGACATTAACACCACTGAATTACTCACTCTTAGGCATTCTCTTGGAGAAAATCAAATAAATCCTTCTTTAACCTTTTCTGGAGATACATTTGGCTCTTCAGAGAAACCAGGCAGTGCTATCAAAACTCGTACTCCACCCATGTCTCTCGATGGGAATGCTTCCCTCAGAAATCCAAAAATTCAACTCGGCCCATTTTGATGCGAATGTGTTTTGGCATTCCCGACTGCTTATTCGAGTTACCTGCCATTTCGTTTTCGGATATTCTTCCGTCCAAACACACTCTCACAAAGTAGTAAAATCTAGTAAACCATGAATATGCGTATATAGGGTCTGGATCGCAGTTTTATGGATGTATTCATAATTCATATATTTTTACTGTATCCTAACTACTACATACATTTGTAAAAATTTTTTGAAAATTTAAATCATCATCCTCTCCAAGGTAATTTTACCATCCTACCGATTTCCTTTACATTTTGACAATGCATAAAACCATTTTGACAATGCATCGTAATTTTTCTATTTGAAAAGCTTTTGAAACCCTTGGAGATGAAAATTTGTTTTTTTGGCAATTCGCAGAGAAAATACAAATTTAATATTGGCCGTATTGGACGTGTTTTGAACTTCAACTCTACGACTTTCCAGTTTTGACTACCCCGTTCCCCAAAGAAAGAAGAAGGGGCTTCTCTTTCGTTTTGTGGTGGCATCACTATAAAAAAANAAAAAAAGATCTAGGCTTCCGCCATGGCTCATAAGTCCTTGAAATTGACCAATTTTTCGTAAAGCAAGAGGAAATGCGATACTGCCTTCTCTTTTGAAATGGATTTTCAATAAAATTAAGTATTAATGAAGACTATACAATCAAATAGGCGAATACGATAAGATTGGTATTTTCCTGATTTCAGCTGATATTTTCTGATAAACTGAATTTGTTGCTTTACTGAATGTTCCATTCGAAGAGACCCAAATACCTGTACCTCCCCATTAGTGCTCACCTTGCTTGGATACGTACCTTGTTACAATGACTTTCGAGACATTACTGCATAGTAATTTCGGCAGTAGCTCGCAAAGCACATACTGACACTGCGACCGCCCTTTCAGCTTGAACTACAACTCTCATTACAACTATCCGTGTTCACTATGTTTACTGGCCTTACCATTACACAACTCAAGAATTTATGGTCAGCTTTCCTCCCGGTAAACAAAAATATTCAATTTTGGTTGATGATTGGCGCAAAAATGTTATTAGAACACTCTAGAAAAATAGCTATCCATTTGTTGCAGATTCCCATGTAGGAACAGGCACTGGAAAGGTCCAATAAGGTGCTCGGTAAATACATTTCGCAGTAAAGGCCAGCTGGCTGGAATCTCTCATTTGGACATCAAACCCAGCCATAGTGCCGATCTCTGTAGAGTACGTTTCTACGGGATGTGTAACCATGATGCGCCAGCTCTACCCATTACCCCTTTTTCACCCATGAAAACCTCTCAGTCATCCCAATATTATGGAACGAAAAAACGGAATGGTTAGTGTAAAGGAAAAGATGGGTATTGGCAGAAAACCGGAAGCGAGCTCTGCCGCTTTGCAAAGAAAGTACTCGAGTTGGCACTACAGAAGTTTACCTTCGACAATCTCATTAATTGACCTAGGCTCCAACCTGGATTCCTCTTAGAACCAAACGTACTCTGGCTACCGTATACTACCGTAATTTTTGACAGTTGAAAAGCACAGGGTCACATGTAGTACTAGTGGCCGGTTGAAAAATTTGTAAACTTCAACATA